ATATATATATACATATATATATATATATATAGGGGGTTCAAATGAAAACTTATTTTTCATTGTGAACATGAGGACAAATATTGGCCATTAATCAAAATTTAAAAAACTAATCAATGATTAAAACATAAAAAAGATTATAAGAAGTAATTCGGGGAAAAAATAAAAGTTAAGATTCATGCCTACCATATTTGACTTTTTTTTCTTTTAATTAAAAACCTTTTACCTCTTTAATTTTTTTAATTAAATTATCTTAAAAATAATTAATATTTTAATCAAACAAATTACATCAAAAAATCGAGCTTTCCATTCTCTTCGATTTGACATCTATTTCGATATATTTTTTATTTATGTTTTTAACTTTTTTTTTACATCAAATAGTATATTTGTATAATATTATTTAGGAATATTTATGCACGATCATATAATTACAACAACTCTTTAATATCCATATATTAGTATGATATTCATCACAAATATACAACTCAATATAACATTCATCATTAACACTTATGTATTTTCATGTGTATTCAACAAATCTTCAGTATTCATGCATCACTATGACATTAGTCATCAATATACATCTTCATTTTAACATTCATCATGAATATACGTTTTCTTTATATATATATATATATATATATATAACACATTTGCATATAACACATATTTCATTACATAGAAATATATAGTTTACAACATAAGGTCCCACTAGTACAAGGATTCTTATATGTACATAATCTACATACGAAAAATTCCAAAACGAATCTTGTACTAACACATGTAATACAACATGTATCTTCAAAGTAAGCCATCAAAAGCGATCTTCAAAAGCAGATAACAGGTTAGGAAAATAATCACATTTTCCCTTTCCCCTTATTCTCCCTGGACCCCGTCATTCCTGCACCACATATTTTAAAAACAGAAAATGAGGGTTAGACAAGAAAGGTCTAATGAGTAAATCCCTTCCTTGCAAATGCAGGGTGATGAACACCAAAATATGATAAAGTCATTTTACTTAGAAATATTCTGCAATACAAACAAATGATGCATTTCACAATAACATGTAAGATAGGATATTGATAAGTGTTAATTTATTAACCTTATTACATCATTTTCTTAACCATTTTYCTTTGTTTTATTTGCCCATTAGTGTCTTAATTGAGTCTTTTTATGTCTTTTTCATATATTAGTAGTAATATAGTATATCTAATGTTAATCCCTTGTTTATGCAGGTTTTTGATGATTTTTGGGCCCGATCCTGCAGCAGTCCTGTAGGACCAGGAGTGGCAGAATCATATAGCACCTGTCTGTGAGCTGCACTTTTGCCTGGGCCGAGAATTCTTGGGCTGCTCCCTTGAAGCTGATGGGTCAACGACCTTGGGCCTGGTCAAAGCCCATTTTTGAAGAGCCTTTTATCTTATTAGGTGGCTCCCACTCAGCAAGCTCCCTTAGCCTATAAATAGAAGGCTTAAGGCTTGTTTTAAACATACTTTTACTTAACTTCTCATTTGTTAATTCTCAAAACTTTGAGTTTTAAACATTTGCCCTCTAGATTATTGCTTTCGGTTTCATGATTTCGGTTTCCTTGCTCCAACCAAGAACCGATTTTTGTGAAGTGTGATTTCGTTCTCAAGTTTAATACAAGTGCTCGTATTTAATCTTCATCTCATTTCTGTTTTTATTTCCAAGTTACGTTACGTTTTCTGACTTTTGTTACAAGTTACGAATTAGTCGATCTCTGTTGCTTTACACTGGATTTCATCCTTAGTGGCTCACGACTAATTTACGTAGACTAAATAATCTGTTTTCAAGACTTTAAAAGTAACTTTTCGGTCTTTGTAACGAAACTTGTTTTGCAAGTTTTCTTCAAAAGTCAAACCCAACTACCAAGGTTGTCATTAGTCTTTCCTCCATCCCATCAAGTACTTTCTTTCATTATTACTAGATTAAAATTAATTAATATTATTTAGTTATTAATAATTTACATTTCAGTATTTATATTTCAGTATTTATATTTCAGTCTTTACATTTCAGTATTTATATTTCAGTCTTTATATTTCAATATTTACATTTCAGTATTTATATTTCAGTCATTTACATTTCAGTCTTTACATTTCAGTCTTTACATTTCAGTCTTTTACATTTCAGTCTTTACTTTACCGTAATTTACATTTCTGTCATTTAATTTCCACTACTTTAAATTTCAGTATTTCCATTTCATGTAATTTATTTTCTGCAATTTACTTTCTGCAATTTACTTTTCCGTCTCAGTTATTTATTTTTCAGTCCTTACATCCTTCGATAGAAGAAACCAAGCGATGATGGGCTAACGCCTTAGCTTGGGGTGTAACGGGAAATTAAGACCAAAGCCGGTGTGAAAGTACAAAGGTGTCTTATTAGCACTATAGTCTACTATTTATTTCAGGTGCTTAATATTTCATTTGATGATTACATTAAAATTAATTGACAACTAATTTTATGTATAAAAATGTATTGACTTTCAAAACCTGAGGTAATAGGAGAAGGCTATAAATAGCTTTAGTGTCTGGCAAACGCTATACTCCTACGGTGTAGGATGGTAACACTGTGTTATGCTAGGATTCACGACGTCTAACATAAATGATATTGTATCGATAGCACGTTGACCGGTGTGTGCTCTTGGGAGGCCGTCTGACCCGATAGTTGATATTGTCATAGTTATATAAAATCAGATAATTGTGACACGAATGCTATGTCACCTTTTTGCTGAATCATTTGTTTATTGTCTTAATCAACTGTTGCACCCTGTGCTTCTTTTTAAGATTGATATTTTCTTAGTTTTAATCAAACCTCTCAATTTTAGATAAATCAAATTTCGCCATCTGAAACTAGTTTTTATAAACTGGACTTTTTGAAATAACTTTACAAGCTATCTCTGTGGGAACGATATCTGGTACTTTACCATTATTACTTGTTACGAGACGACAGTAGTTCAAGGTGTATACTTGCTCCGAGTTCTATTTTTGTGTTGAAATCTTAGGTTGAATAAATCGACGAGCAAGTTTTTGGGGCCGCTGCCGGGGATAGCATGCTAAAGTTTTTCTTTTAAAGTAAAGTTCGTAAAAGCTAATTTTTCTACCACCTGTTACTATTATGGAGAATATCATACATATTGCTGATTCTCGGGATAGAGGAATCATGGACTATGCTATTCCTGCTTTTAGTCAATTAAATTCAAAAATACTAAGGCCACACATTAAGGCAACTCACTTTGAGCTCACACCTGTCATGTTTCAGATGTTGCAGACTAATGGCCAGTTTAGTGGTTTGCCATCTGAAGACCCTCATTTACACTTAAAATCTTTAATAGAAATAACTGATTGTTTTCTTATCCCTGGAGTGTCTGATGATGCCTTAAGGTCGAAGTTATTTCCATTTTCTCTTATGGATAGAGCAAAGTTATGGTTTAACTCTTTACAACCAAATTCCATAATCTCTTGGGATGACCTTGTAAAGAAATTTTTGAGAAAATATTTTTCTCCCAATAGGAACGCTTAATCCAGAAATGAAATATGTTTGTTTAGACAAATGGATAATGAAGTAA